CAAAAAAGCACTGAAATAGGTTTATCGATCGATTCTTTGGAGACCAAGAGTAAGCCGATCACTGTCAAAAAGAAAGTTAATAAGATGGATACATCTATGTCCACCGACAGTCTTATGACGGAGATAGCGACAACTCCAAAATCTACTGTGTCCAACAAATTGTCGCCTACTTTAGTAAAAGTGAACAAAACACAAACTTATGACAGGTAAGATGGAATTTAACTTATTAAATTTCTGCGATTTTGATTTGAGAGACTAATTTGCCATAATTCTACTAACTATTGTGATTTTGCATTACATAATATATTTAAAAAATATATAAAGTGAAGACTCCTTAATATTAAAAAATTGAATAAAACAAAATTTAAATACTATCTTTTCACTTCTTTGTATCTATTTTCGCACCCGACTCCTATAAGATATAGATATATATATATATAGATATAGATATAGATATAGATATTATAAATGCCCTTTTTTTATTCAATTTTTTATAATGTATTTAATTTTTTTGGTTTCTCTATGTTAATAATCAGATTTGTTAATTTGTAAACGGCAGAATGAAAAAAAGCTCGCCACCAACACAGCAGAGGAGTCCATTGACGATCACTAAAAGATCTCCGAGGTCGTTGGAAAATTCTACTGCCGCCAGTCGCAGTAGAACTGCTGCTATCAGCAGCACGTATCACGGTTCACCGAGTCTACGCAGAAGTTTATTAGATGCAGCAAGGACACCGGATGTCCCCAGTAAACTGGTGAATACAGTAGCTCCTTTCAGGACACGACAGACAAATGTTCCCATTACGAAGAGAGAAAAAAAAGAAATTCAAAATTTGCAGAGCTCTGATAATCCTAGCAAGAAATCCTCCCCAAAATCTAACATTAGCAGTAAGATGAGCAAGTCAGTTGTCACTGGCAAACGAATTATCGGTGGTAAAGCTGATGCTACGATTAAAAAGTGTCACAATATGGAGACGCAAAGGCAACCTACAGTAGGTTCGAGATCTGGTACATTCCTCAAAGATGAACCTACGATACTTAAGAAAGTGGACATTAAATCATCACAAATTAATATTTAATGCTATTAATGATTGGAGAATTATATCGGATAGGATGCATTATCGACATGATATTTATTATTATTTGTTAATAATATTACACTTTTATTAATTAACAATTTTTTAATTATAACGATATTGATATTTTAAAATTTCGCATCCAATGCATATTATATTTATATATATAGAAGTTCGTACAAATATTATATAATTGTCTTTTTATGAAAGTATACCTAAAATTATTATTATTAAATATGATTTGAAATTACTTTTATGTATTAATATACTTTATATATAATTCCACATTTACCTTATACATTTAATAAAAAAAAGACTTGTCGACAATGCATTGTATGCGTAATAAACCGTGATTGATGGAGGACTGTCGCTAGTAACTGCGAACGTGATAATTCCAATAGAGGAATCGTATTATACAAGTATGTAACATAGAGGAATATAATTTGAAACTGCTTGGAATTGTCGTTAAAAAAATACATTTGAGCTGCATTTATTAAATTAAATAGAAAATAGTTAAATATACTACGATTATATACTCTAGATCAGAGTTGGGCATGTATTTGAAATACTTTTATTTAAAACACACTATTTGCAATACAAGCATATTTTGTATTTTTTATTTTAGCGCATCACATAAAAGTATTACGTATTTTGTATTTAAAATCGAAAGATTGAAGCTTTTTGTATCTTGTAATTTAAATAATAAGGTTGATTATCAATGTTAGTATTTGAAATACAAAATACTTTCATAATGTTTTGTTATTAATACTAAAATATAAAATATAAAATACTTTTATATGCTTCCATGAAATACAAAATACAATAATATTTTCATGTACTCTGAACAAACACAAAATACAAAATATAATTGTCTTATCAATACTGTTTTTCAAATAAAAGTATTTCAAATACATGCCCATCTCTGCTCTAGATACTAGAGTATCTCAAAAATAAGGTAGAGGTCGCATTGGAGGGCGCAGAATGGGTCAAGGGGAACAAAAAAGTCATACCATTTTGAGATATTCGCTGTAGTTTTCGAATTAAAGAAGAAAACGTCCTAGGGATTCTAGAAACGTCTAAATCAATGTGTGGTGAAGTCACGTCGCGCGAATTCGTACCACGATCCATCGCGCCTCACTCGACAGTGCCGTGGCCGCCGCCGCTGTCGAGTGAGAAGTTTCCTTCTTTAATTCGAAAATTACAGCGAATATCTCAAAATGGTATAAGACTTTTTTGTTCCCCTTGATTCATTCTACGCCCCCAATGCGGTTTCTACCCTAGTTTTGAGACACCCTGCGCGCGTGCGTGCGTGCGTGCGTGCGTGCGTGTATATATATATATATATA